CACGCCCCCCCCCCCCCTACCGCCAACCCTCCACCCACCCCTGTGTTAATGAATGGATGCTACGGCTAACGGATCGCCGCCGCCGCCATCGAGGCTGGATTTCTATTCCTGACTTGATTGCTTTCTTCTTCCTATGCTCTCCCATTTTGGCTTGTTTTTGTTATCTCCCTCCCCGCCCTTTATTGGTGTTTCTCAGGGGTGGAGAGGAAAAAAAAAAAAGGACGACGGGGGTGTCTGCGCGCGTGTGTGGCGGGCGCTCGACGGGGATAAAGATGGAGGTGAACGTGGCGTCTCCGCCGCTCGGCGTACTACCGTTGGGCTGAATGCAGGAGCTTTGATTCGGATGCAGTTTTGGGGGATTTTTTCGGGGGGTGTGCTTTTCCGGATGATGCTGAGCTATTGTCGGGCCTCGATGGGAAAGGAACGGTCCTGAAAACGACACCCTCAGCCCCCCTCCACCCTTTCTCTTTTTATTATCTTTACCCTATTTTACCTCCCACCTTCCCTCTGCATCACCCCCCCCCACCCCCACCCCCTGCATCGGAGCGTAATGTGCCTCCCCACGCATGCAAATAGTGGCCGGGTGATGCCTCCCGGGAGGGAGCCCGCCGCGAGCCGCCGCCGCCGCCGCCACCGCCACCGCGCTGCCGTTCGTCAATGAGACGCACGCCGCTTCTTCCTGCCATGGCCGGTGTGGCATCGCTCTAGCGGGACGCTCGGTACCCCATGCGGGGGAGGCGCTGAGCCCCTGAGGTTGGTCCACCTCCCCCCTGGCCCCACTTCTACCCCCCCCCCCCACTCCCCACCCAAACAACAACAACAAAAAAAAAACCCAACAAAAAAAGGGGGTCACGATGAAGAAGAACCGCAACGTGCGGCGGGCCTGGGCCGGCTCGGAGAAAGACGTCCGTGTGCAGAAGCAGCACCTTCCTCCTCCTCCTCCTCCCCATTTCTCGCCATCCCCGCCGAGTTTTCGGGCGTCAGGTGAGTGGTGCGTCACCTCGAAAAACCCTGAAAAGAACCCATCGGTTTCCGTTCGCCTCACGCTCGCGAAACAAGAAATTGTCATTGAATGAAAAACTATTGCGATGGAAACATCTGCCAAAAATCCGCAAATGTTGACGAGGAAAAAATCGCTTCAACTCATCGAACACCAACTTTGTGGTACACTGTCTGGGCTTAAAAAAACAAAACAAAACAATGTGTATGTGTGTGTGGGGGGGGGGGGGTAGTAAAATCTAAAAATGTATCAAATTAATCCACAATTATTGTGATCACCAACTTGGGAGCTCGCCAAGAGGCGGACGGATGGGTGTCAGTCGATCTTGTTTCACTTAAAATAACCCGAATTCTCAGGATTTCAGTCACTTATCAGATAACATTCTCCATTTTTTTGTAGTTTTCCATGAAAGCAGACCCCCTCAAAAGACATTTGCAAACATCTCCTTTTACTTTGGAAAACAACGGTCAACATTTTTGCAGATTTTCCCATGTTACGGACCAAACCATTTTCTGCACTGTCCATTTTTGAGTGAACAAATATATGAATCCAATGCATCAATGAATCCCCCCAAAAACCGAATCGATTATTGTTAGTTGGAGCCATCCTCTCAGTCGACGTGGAAATTTTGTTTTTGACAAACCTTGCTAGCCTCAAAAGCCACCACCAAACTAGCGGCGCGCAAAATCCTCCCAGAAAGCACCTTAGATGTTCTTCTTTTTTCTTTTTTTTCCAGGAATGAAATCGAAGATACATGACATCATCCCAGCAAAATGATCTGCTTCAAAAACATAAACCAAACAATTGCTGAGGAAGCATGCTACTGTATTTCACATCCCCATCGCTAGTTTTCATCACACTGCTCACCTTGCATACCATGACCGAAGTTTTTTTGGTTGATTTTTATTTTCTTTTTTTTGCCGAGTAAGAAGAAATACCTTGACAGGACAAAACAAACATTTCTTATCTCTCTTAAACAACAAAAAAGAGCCAAACAGTATTGTGTCAACTCCCCCACCGCCCCCCCCATCCCGCAACGTTAACTCCAAAGTGTGCGCATGATTTATGTCAAGTGAAACGAGGAGATGACGTCATGGCGCCCGTTCCACTGACAGTCCGGTGCGGTGTCGTGGGAGGCGGGGATAACTGCAGCGGGTCTTAATGGGGGCAACGGTGACGGCGCGCGGGATGATGTCACTACTCGTGATGTCACGGCCGCCGAGCCTGCTCTGTTCGACAAAGGCGACGGCACGTGGCGCGCGTGTGTGAAGTTCTCATTGTGGAAGGTTGCCGCAGCAGCTGACACACAAACGGGAAGACGAGCGAGTGAGAGAGAGAAACAGAGAGCGAGGATGAGGTGGAGCGAGAGCCGTTTGACCATTACGTCATAGCTTCTCTTACTCACCCAGACATGCTTTTCTTTTCTCTCTCTCTCTCGCTCGCTCTCACTTTCTCGCAGGTGACGTGTCGCCCATCAGCATGTCGCCCATCAGCCAGTCCCAGTTCATCCCGCTGGGCGAGATCCTGTGTCTGGCCATCTCGGCCATGAACGCCGCGCACAAGCCCGTCAGCCAGGAGGCTCTGGTGGAGCACCTCACCGCCAGCTTCCCAGGTGAGCCGCGACGACGGACCGTCACCAGTCAGGCACGATCCGTCGTTCTGGTTTTCGGGGTTAAAATGAATTCTCCACCCGGGAAATCATGAAATGACAGCAGAACGAAACAAAGGACGTGTCGGAGACCCGAGACTGGTCGCCAGTCTCTCGCATTGAACGCTATGGCCATATGACCTCATTTCCATTCGGCCATTTTCCGCAGCGTTCGTCCCCGTTTGGGCCACGGCGCTCTGGAGTCGATCCCGGCCGGAACTGAGATATGAACTCAAGACCTCTTGACTGTGTCGCAGAAGGATGGATTTTATCCTCTTGGAGTAGCTTGAAATGCGGTGAACTGGAAACCGGTCCAGGGTGTACCCCATTCCAGTCAAACCCATGACTTGAGTGAATGGTGCTTTGAGAGATGCAATTTGTTTGTTTGTTTGTTTTTTCTTGTTTTTAAGTACAATGTGTTTTCATCGAAGGCGTGCCGACACCCAGCTTGGAGGTCCTGCGACACACCCTGAACATGCTGGTGCGAGAAAGGAAGATCTACCCGACTCCAGAGGGCTACTTCATCGTCAGGTAACGTCACGCCGTCCTCGCCCGTTTGCCTTTCGGAGAGGCCCCCCCGCAAGAATCACAATGACTCGTACGCTTCCCAACGCGAGGAGGCGCCCAGGCTTCAGAGTAAGACGCCAAAGGAGCAGCAGAAGTCCGAAGCCCAAACGAGTAAGACCCCGAAGGACCGCGGCGGCGGCGGCGAACCTCTGGCGAGCAAGGAGCACCGTGGAGAACCGCCGTCCTACCCCTACCCGCCTCCTCTCACATCCCCCCCTGTCCAGCGAGCGTCCCAAGATCCGGCAGACAAGAGCAAAGGCGTCCCATCGTTCCCTTACAAAACGGACACCCTGACCAAAAAGAAAGAGGGCAGCGCGAGCGGCGAGAAACAATCCAAGCGGTTCGGTCTGCGCCTCTTCCGGCTGAGCTTCAAGAAGGACAAGATGAGGCAGCTGGCCACCTTCTCGGCGCAGTTCCCGCCGGAGGAGTGGCCGCTGCGCGACGAGGACGCGCCCGCCGCGCCCCCCATCCCCCGCGAGATCGAGATGGAGATCATCCGGCGGATCAATCCCGACCTGACGGTGGAGAACGTGGCCCGGCACACGGCCGTGATGAAGCGGCTGGAGGAGGAGCGCGCGCAGAGACACAAGACGGGCTCGTCGGCGCAGCACAGCGCCCGCAGCCGACGGGGCCGCGGCCACCGGCGGGCCCCGCACGGTAAGTCTCGCTCGCACAGCAAGCCGCGGACCTCCCGGGGGGAGCCGTCGGAGGGTTCGAACTGGGATCTTCTTTTCATGGAAAGGGATTACCGTTTCTTCAGCCACTCGCTGGTGCGCTCCCCTCGGGAGGCCACGTACACCCTGGAGCGCCGGCGGAGCGGCGGCGCCACGTACCTCGTCCACAGCAACCCCAACATCACCGAGTCGTACTGCCCCGTCACGCCCGAGTGGGACGTGTCCGGGGAGCTCGCCAAGAGGCGGACGGAGATGCCCTTTCCCGAGCCCTCGCGGGGCACCTGCCAGTCCAGGGTGCAGAGGAGTCACAGTCACAATCAGGACCGCAAGTCGCGCCACGACCGCTCGGAGCGGGCCAAGGAACGATCGCGCTCCATGGACAACTCCCTCAAAGGCCCCTCGCTCGGCCCGCCGGAAGACTTTGAGGCCGGACCGGACGAGCGCGGCCACTACTATACGGACGACGGCACCCTGCGCGCCACCCAGAAGTCGGGCCACTACTCAAGGATCACCTTCTCTGCTGCGAAATTCCACTCCGATTTCAATGTGCCTGATTTGGGGAAAGGGAGCGCGGACGAGTTGCGGCTCCGCGGGACGACGGAGAGGAACAAGAGCAGAGACAGCCTGCCGACGTACAACGAGCTCATGGGACTTTCTCCAAAGCCCTCGACGGACGAGTACTTCCAGTGCAATACGTCAAACGAAACAATCCTAACCGCCCCCTCGCCTCAGGCAAAATCAGAATATGACACGTTAACCTCATCGGGAGGACGCCGAAAGGGCTCTCCGGCCGACCGCCAAACGCCTCGCCTCACCTCTCCGCACAAGATGGAGTACAAGGAGGACGCGTCGGCGACAAAGGGACAAAACGCCGGCGGCGGCGGCGGCGGCTCGGTGCGACTGACGCCCAGCCAGACGCCGGAGCCGGCGCAGAGTGCCCGCCTGACGCCGCACCAGCACAACGTGGACCCCGGAGGGGGCGGCGGCGGCGGCGGAAGCATGTCCATCAAGAGGAAGGAGATCTTTAGCAAGGACACCTTGTTCAAACCCCCACACAACGCCTTGTCCGCAGGCTACGCCGACAGCTACACCAAGTCTGGCACACCGCGGAAAGCCTCGCACGGCAAATCAACAGAGGCCCTCGACAATCCCGAGCCCCAGCAGCCTTCCAATTCGGCCGCGTCCTCGGCTTCGCCCGCGCTGCTCCAGGGCTGCTTAGAGCCCGCCATCCCGTCCGCCTCCTTCGACTACTACAACGTCTCAGACGACGAGGATGACGAGGAGGCGGAGGGGGACTCGCACAAGGACTTGGTCGCGGCGGAGGATGGTGAGGACCGTCGAGAGGCGGGTGGCAACGGCGGGGGGAGCGGCACCGGCGGAGGCGCCGTTGTGGGCGGCGGCGGCGGCGGGGACGGAACCATCAAGTGGTTACTGCAGCGGGAGAAGGAGCATGATCTGCAGCGCAAACTGGAGACCAATCTCACCTTGCTCAGCCCCAAGGAGACGGAGAACGGCGGCAGCCAGAAGTCAGCTCACTCGGCTCGCTTGGACAGCATGGACAGTAGCAGCGTCACGGTGGACAGTGGATTCAACTCACCGAGGTACGGCGGGGGGGGGGGGGGGTCCCTTCTTCTGGCGCCCCT